TTTGACCAACCCCCACTTTGGTTCTTCTATGTTCGACATGTAATTTCAATTTATAGCAGCTCGAGGTCATTGTTGTGCTTTAAAATATAAAAACAATAAAATAAAAATGATAGGAGAGTGAGGTAAGTTTTTTTCTTTTTTGGGTGAAAAAACAGATAGACAAGGATTAAATAATTTATTGTCTTTTATTTTTCTTCTTATTTTGGATTGAAATTTAACGAAATATGCCAAGAAATATGTGTAAATTTACCGTCTTTGAATTGAGTTACAGTAAAAAAATAAATAAAATTTAAAAAGATAAAAAACAATAGAATTATTTATTTCTTATTAAATTGATCGGGTAACTTATTGATTAAAAATATTTAATATTTGTAGAGATATTTGAGTCATATGAGATTTAAAAAATGAATAACCCGATAATTCAACTTAGCCCAATTAAAAATAGAGAGTTAAGATTGTGAACCATATTGGGATCATTCATATCATCAACCCAACAACCTTAATCCTATTTTTATTTTTTTCGAACTGAACCTAGCTCAATCTAACTCGTGTATATCCTTAGTACAATCAGGACATGATTCTGTAACAATCCAAGCCCAGTGCTAACAGTATTGTTTGTTTTGGTTCGTTACATATCGCGGTTAGCTTCACGATTTTAAAATGCGTCTGTATGTTAGGGAGAGGTTTCCACACCTTTTTAAAAAATGTTTTATTCTCCTTCTCAATCGAAGTGGGTCTAGTGAAATTTTTTTATGCGAGTAATAATAAAACACGTTAAAAATGCATGCTAATCTATAAAAATAATATTAAAAAAATAAATAGATATTGTGATGAAAAATAAAATAATAATAAAAAAAATAAAATAAAGTAGACAGAAAAGGAAAGTACGGAAAACAGAAGAACCAAAAGCAAGAATGAAGCGACAAGACATGACGTAAAGAAAGGGAGGTTAAATGGAAGCTGGTAAGATGAAAAATCAAAAAGTAAATCTGCCACCAGACTGTTAAAAAAAACAAAGTAAAAAAGAAAGTAAGACATCAGACTTTTTACTTTGTTTTTTTCCTTATATTTATTTTTACTTTTACAAAAAAAATAAAAAAGCGGGTTGGAGAGGGGAACGAAACATTCATTATAAGAATGTGGAAACCTTTTTCTAATAGACGTGTTTTAAAATCGTGAGACTGACGACGATACTTACGAGCCAAAGCGGACAATATTTACTAGCAGTGAGCATGAACTTTTACAAATGATATTAGAGCCCGATATCAAGTGATGTCCAATAAGGATGTTAGGCCCCCAAAGAGGGTGAACTATGAGATCCCAGTTGGAGAGAAGACTAAAGTATTTCTTGTAATGGTGTGGAAACGAGATCCCAACAAAACATTTCTTATAAAGGCGTGAAAACTTTTCCCTAGTAGATGCGTTTTAAAACCGTGAGGCTGACGACGATATATAACAGGCCAAAGCGAACAATATCTGTTAGCAGTGGGCTTGAACCATAATAATAGTATGCATCCATGAAGCTTGGTATCCCGTTCTTGGCTTTTTGTTCGCATTTTCCACAAACACTATGTTGGAGGAACCATTGAAGGGCAATGAATTTCTGAGTAAATCTACACATAAACAACTTCAATTTCATTCAAAATTTATACATAAACAAGCATCATGTAGCTTCAAAAAAAGGGTTCCCTCTTGAATCATTATGATGAACAGCAAGGAAAACAGAAGAACACAAGATTAAGATCAAAAGTTTATGTGAAAAACAGAGGGAAATGAAGAGCTAAGAATGCAAAATGGACTGTTAGAAGGCTTTTCTAATCCCTTTCCAGTAATGTAATCACAGCAACCTAGTTTTGTTTACATACACTTTGATCAAAGATGATAACAAATTGAACCCAAAATTGTTTAAACAATACAGAATTTGTAAGAAGAGGTAAGAAAAAGAATCAATGATATCCTCTTGAAACTCTGGACTGATACAGTTCCAATCTACTTTTGGCTTCCGGCAGTATAGTTTCTATGTTTTGTTCTTCCACTAAGTGGCCCTGTTTTGAAGACCATTCCAGCACAATCAGTACATCTTCTTGAGCTAGCGTCTCACTATCAGGGACATGTAAAGCTATGTGGCACAGAAGAATCAATGAAGGGATTTGAACCATTTGTTCACCAAAATAAACAAGTTGGATCAAGTGCTTTGTTCCTCCTGCTTCTATGATGGCTTTGCAATGATTGTCGTGGAGAAAGTTTTCAGGACAGGCGAATTTGTTAAGTGCAATCACTGCCTCCATCGAAACCTCCGTTTCCCTTTCGTCGAGCAGCTTCACGAGCGGTCCGATCATCCTCGTTTCGGTTGCTCTGAACGTCCTAGCCAAGTTACCAATGGCTATGATTGAAGGAATAAGCAGATCGTAAGTCTCCTTCTCGACGATTTTCAGTAGCTGTTCAACAACAGCCTTGGCTGCTGGTGAAGTAGGCTTGAACCCAGATCGACGCAGCTCGGCATTCTGCTCGGCTACCGCTGTGATTTCCATCAATGCCATAGCGGAATAGTACCTCACATCTTCAGGGCCCTTCTCTAATAGAACTGCAAAGCATAACAGAGCTCTTGATTCTGTAATGTTACGGCAAATGTTGACATTCCCTTTGCAGAGATGCCATAAAGCTTTTGCAGCCATGGCTTTCATTTGAGCTTTTGTTGCAGGGTCTTCATATTCCCTTCCCTTTATGCTTGCCCCTGACAATGCCGCGTGATGCGGCCGCCCCATCGCGTGATGATTCCCCGCCTTGTGCGAGTTTTGCAATTCCTGCGCATTGTGCTGACCCTTTACAGGATTCTTCATAGCCAATGTATCGGTAACTACATTATGCATTTGGCTAGATAATTGATTCCCAGTTGGATGATTCATACAACTATTCGTACGTTTATCATCTTCTTCATGTCGAGATTTCACATTATGATCAGAACTATTACAACCATTAGCCATCAACACCGAATGAATCGACATTTGCTGCTTGGTATGAATGGCGTACCTGCTGTGTTCTTGAATCGTTTCGAACGCGAGATGGCTGACGAGTAGCCGAATCACATTGTTCTGCGCGAAATGATCTTGACATTTGCGATGATGAGTAGCCATTTCTGAAACGGCCCAAGCCACAACGCATTGAACCTTCATATGTCCATCTTTGAGAATTTTCGCGAACGCCGAACAAACGCCGCAATTCACAATGTGTTCGACGCTTTCGGAATCTCGACCTAATAGTCCGATGGCCCTCGCGGCGTGTTCCTGGCCTTCCAGCCGCCCTTCCTTGGCTAATTTCAGCAGCGGCGGAACGCCTCCTTCTTCAATAATCAATTTCCCATACCGATCATTGTCGCGAGCCAATGAAGCCAGAGAAGCCGCAGCATCGGATCGTTCCTCTAAGGTACTCGTGTGAAGGATCGCTACCTGTTCCCAAATTAAACCTAAAATCGGTTCGTTGGAGGCGATCGGAGGGAGGCCGAGGTATTCATCATCGCGATCCTCGGCAGGGGCGGAGACACGGAGGAGCCAAGAGACATCGCCGATGGAGTTTTCGAGTTGTGTGGAGATTTTTTTGAATGCGGCGGCGGGGATTATGGTGAACATGCGTTTCATGATGCCATTGGCGCGGCATTTGAGGACGAGAATGAGAGCCTTGTCGAGAACTTGCTCTGTGTCGTCGATGATGCGGCGAGTGGGACGCTCGTAGAGGTCGTTGCTGGCGCGGGCGGCTTGGCGGAGGAGGGCGGCGAGTTTTTCGGTCTTGGTTTTGAGTTCGATGCATTCTTGCTTGAAGGATTGGGCGAAATCGGCGTTTTTGGTTACCTGGTCGGCGAGTTGGATGGGCCTTGCCAGGATCTCCTTGACAATGCCGGCCATGGCGGGAAGGGGGTGGTTTTTGGCGGAGAGTTCTTTTTATTTTATTTTATTTTAAATTTTAATTTTTTAGTTCTTTTTTGTTTTGGGAAATTATTAAAAATTATTAAAAATTATTAAAAATGGTGGATCGAGAGCGGACGGCCCCCCTAATTTTCGCTCTAATTTATATTACTTTTCTTGTAAAAGTAATTATTTGTATTTTTTTTTTAAAAAAATAATTAACTAAAAAATATGCAAAAGAGAAAGTCCCCTTATAGTAAGATTTTCGAGTACGAGAAAGAGTTTGAGCTGATATTTACACGAGTAATACCACGAAGTGGGAGCATATGCGATGTGTCCTGGTCATGCTTGTCTATGGCCACATGTCGGATGTCCCGATCATGCTTGCCTAAGGCATGTTGTCCATAGGTACATGTTCGTTCCAAACCCTTTTACATGTGTTTTATCTTGGATGGGTCTTTACCATTTCATGTTGTGTCAATACAAAGGTGTATGATCGTTTATCAAAATCACGTCTATACCTGTTAGGACTACAATGTCCCAAAATGTACTCTAGAGAGATGTGACTAGTTGTCAATTCTTCATGTCCGAGTTATATGATATTTAAATCATGGTGTTTTCTTTTACTTATAGTCCTATAACGTTATTTTCTTCAATTCTTTCAAATCGTTTTCAAATGTGTTTCATCGCTCACGTTTTCTAAAACATTTTTCATAAACATGACTCGAGGCTTGAGTATACGCCGACGTTGTCCGCCATGGTTGACTTATTCGTTGGACTAGAACAAGCATTGGACAATCATTGTCATGCTGCCACAAGAGTGCAATTGTGACACGATTCATGCCCTCTACGAGATGGTTATCTCTCACTGCCACGAACGGAAATCCTTTATTCCGCTCATTTTGTCTTGGTTCTAATGTGTGTTTTTTTTTTTACTTAATTCTTTAGGTCTAAAATGTATATCTAAAATTAAGTTTATTCCTCCATAATTATTGGATACAAAAAAGTGGAAACTTTTTTACCTTTTACCCTTTCTATTTCCTACATTTAGCGGGGTAAAACTGTAATTTCCCATACCATAGGACCTCTACTATTATTCGCATAATAAAAGGATATATATATCAGGGTGCATGAGATAAAGTAATATCCAACAAAATGTATGCTCTCAACAAACAGACCAGAACGTTTCTCGATCATCGTACACTTAATCCAACTTAATTACAGATCATTATACAAAAAAATAAGCTTCCTCACCCACCCTACGACACAAAAACACACAAACCCAGATGATCGAATCTTCAAACAAACGTCGATCTAAACATAGTTCAAACGAGTAACACGAGCAGCACGAGAGCAACACGACCCTCAACGGAAGAACCTCGACCCCGAATTCTCAAGCCCTCCCATCAATTCTTGCACTTGTGAGCCCAACACAAGCATCCACAAAATCCCCATCAATGAAATCAGTGGACAAAACCTGCAACTTATCAGCAACGCCCTTAGCAAAGCTTTGATTAATGAACAACCGAGCAAATTTATGGATCCTTTTGGTCACCGGTTTCACACACAAAACTGGGTTGTCGGCTTTCGGCGTCACCGTGTTCTCCACTCTGTAAAAGTACTTCCTCTTCGTCACCGGCGGCTGCTCCGACAAGTGCTTTATATTGCTATCAAATTTCGTCGACGGCAAATCTGTATCGATCCAATTATCCCTCAAATACCCACCTCCCCAAAGCGGATCTCCGCCCTTCGGCGGCGGCGATTTCCTCGGCTTCCAAATACAAATCACCCTTCTCGGCAACAAATCGGCAATCGTCTTCTCAAACACCCGATCGTCGTTATGAATCAAAAACTCGCCGAGTTGTTCCACGACATAGTTCTCAAAATCGGGTGGATCATTATGTCCGAATTCGGTTCGGATCTCGAGAATCAGAATCTCCGATTGCGTTTCGGCGAGGAATTTCTTTATGTCGGAAAAAACAACGTCGACGCTATACGTCGAGAGGACTCCATGGCAGACTAAGCGATTTTCTTGAATCCGGATATCCAATAAGCGCGTGCCTAACACGAGCTGTTGGTAAATGGAGAGTGATTGACACTGCGCAAAAGGTCGCGTGATGAAGGGAATTCCGATATCGTTGGTGGCGGAATCGTGAGTTCCTGGCCATATGATTTGGTGAATACGCGTCCGTTCAGAACCGAGATTTGCCATCCAGTTTTTTCTATCCGGTGGCCGGTAATCGGAGCCGGGGAAATCCTCGCCGGCGGTGACCTTAAGCTCCGCCAGAACGTTCTTCTCTATTCGGAGAGTCTTCCGCCGTTCGACCTGCTTCGAAAACTGAGCACCCATCTCCGGAATGATCAATGAATCCTTGATTGTAGTTATGATGTTTTTTAAAACCAGCCATTTTGGTCGAGGGAGATGTTTTTTTTTTTATTATTATTATTTTTTATTAAAGATAATTTTTTAATGATAATTTGTTCGGTTTTTTTCTTTTTTATTTATTTATTGTTTGCATTATTGGTGGAGAGTCAATGTCGTGGGCTGTGTTCGGTTGGGCCCACTTGTTTAGCTGTCATGTTTCTTTTGGCGACATTTTCTCTTAAGCGACGTCGTTTTGTGGAAATTATCCTAAAGTTTGGTGGTTGAATTATTGGATATTTTTTGACTTTTTTGGGATTGGTGGTTTAATTTTAATAGGATGATAATAAATACAATTTACCTTCGAGACTGATTTATAGAGGTATTCGTAGCTTGAGTTGGATCGGGTTAAAAAATTTTATAAATTTAACCCAATTTAATCATAAAATGTTGGCGGGTCAATCACAGTATATTTATACTTTACCCCCAATAAATAGGTAAAAATCTCATTTGATATTATTAATAATTTTTTTACAATAAACCCTAAATTATTACAAAATTTAATTTTTTTTTTAAATTAAGGGTTATTTTTTAAACTTTTAAAAGTTTAATAATATTTTTTTAAATAAAATATTTTCATCCAAAATTAACTAAAATTCTAAATTTTTTTATATTATTTTAGTAAAAATAATTATAAAATAAAATTCGAATAGAGAAAGGGAGAGAGATTTTGGCCACAAAAAGCAAAAGATTTTTTGTATTTCTTAAAAAATATTAAATATTAGCTTGTTATTATAAAATGAAGATTTTTTTATAATATTTTATTTGAAAATAGTGTAATAAATGTTATAAAATATTCCATCCAATCATCATAAAATAAAGCAATCAAAGTGGTTGAGTTGGCTGGCCTTTTGTGTTAGGAATATACAAAAATTTAAACACGTTATACTATTTTTGTGACAACTGTCAAGTTCATTCAAAAGAAAATGACAAAATTTGAAGTAATTTTGGATGGTCGAGATCTTGCCACGTGTCTCATTGTTGGATCCGATACTTCGCAGGACCAGGTCCCACGTTTAACTGATAGAGTCACGGTTTTTTAAGGACCTGCCCCAAATAGAACAGGGGTTAGAGCTCACCCAATGGAGCCGATTGTGGCTAAATTGACTAATCTAGGTCCAACGATGTTAGTTTTGATCAGGCTGAGCAAAACTAGTGAGGCTAGTTCGACCTTTGTAGAAACTATTGGTTGCAACTTTTTCTGGTGTGCTTCGTAAAATTTCTTGCTTTAACACAACAACATGTCTTTGAACTAACGATTTCCACCCATGACCTTTGCTCGAGAGAGTGATGCAGTCATAGCCTAATGTGAATTGACCGTAGAGGTTATGAGATTTTTTCAACTTTTTATTTCTTTTATTTCGATACTCATACTTTTAATTTTTAGAAAATAAAATTTTTAAGAGATCACCGAACATAGAATTGCTCAAGTCAAATACGCTTAGCTTTAACGTTTCTATGATTGAGTAACCAAAAGGGTATGTGTACTTTGTTGGTAGAAGTAGTAACTATCATTCATTATTTAGTTATGGTTTTGGTTTATTCATGTACTCTTCATTTACTTGAGCGTCACAATAGTATACTGAAAACAAAAAAAAAAAAAAAAAAAAAAAAAAAAAAATACAATAGTAACCAGTCTCTTGACTATTGGTCTGCTCGTTTAGAATGGAGTGGTTTAACCGTTTAGATTTCGAGCACCACTTGTCACAATCGCATTTTTCTTAGCAGCAGATTTTGCGATTGTGCAACATTCACTTTCTTAACAACAAGTAAGTCAAGCCAAATTGTATTTGCAAGCGTACGACCAAACAATGTTTGCTGAAACCTCTAATCCCGATTTGAGAAGAAGGTTTTAGAAAACGGGATAAAGAGAATTTGAAACCAATGTTATATGACATACAAGCAAAAGAGAACCTAACGACTTAAGTAATATATAACTTTTTCGAGTAGGGAGAATATTTAGAAATCTAATCTAACGGTTGAGCACGTTAATTATAACTTAGATCTTTGAATCTTGTGGTTGAAAAGGTTTGAACTTCCCACACCTCACTCCCTCATTTTTAGCGAAACATCGTACGACAAAAGCTTGTCGTGTTCTTTATATTTGAACGGAACATACATAAAATAAGACAACATAGAATCATTCGGCAACAACCGCCGCCGTCCGGTGGCTTTCCTTAGTGTAAAACCGTCACATTATAACCCACAATCGCATCTCCGGCGGCGTTAAACCAATAAGTCCTCGCCAGAGCATACCCACGAGCGAACCGGAAAGCCCCCGTCCCTCCGACCACCGGCAGCTCACGGACTTTATGAAACACCGAATTCTTCCCCACAATAACAATGGAGCTGCCGTTGAACTCGCCGGCGGTGAATTGATAGGTTAGTGTCATGAGCAGACCCACCTCCTGCTGTGCGGCCGACGCATACAGCCCCTGTGCCCTGCCCACCTCCTTCGATTTCGGGTCTGGCTTTTCCGTTAATGGGTCATCGATAATGAACAAGACGCCAAAGAGTGTCGATGATTTGGCGGAGGTTGGGGCCTCCGCCACCTTAATGGCGGAGGGGGTTTTCCCGGTGACGGTGTCGTGGAAGTAGAATTGGACGTTGGTTTTCTTTGCATGGAGGGTTCGAGTCCATGGGAGAGCTGCGATGAGAAGAATAAAGGAGAATGAAAGAGAAATATTCGCCATTTTTTGTGGAATGGACAAGAAGACGAGAAGGTTTTATAATGAAAAAGTGTTAAGAATGATGCTCTGATATCATGTTAAGAATGAGAAACAGAAGTGAGATTGAAAGTCCGAGAAATATAGGTGAGATCAATAGTAGGACGTTTTTTTTTTTTTTAAATATGAGTGACGTGTAAAAGGAAAAAAGTTAGCTTTTAAGCAATAAAATTAGATGAAAAGAACAAATAACAGTTAAAACTTTTCTTCGTAAAAGGTGATTCTTTTGAGGGATGTTGGCCCATTAGTTGTAATTATTTATCGTCTTTTTAAACCAATTCAATAATTCATCGATTTGTGGGATATGATACTTGTTCTTCGTTGTTACTTTGTTCAATATCTGTAATCTGTGTATAATCACAACGATCGATCTTTCGTTTTCATAAATAGGATGGTGGTCCACTAGATGACGCGATTGGACGTATAAATTTCTTGTTCGTTAACTCTCGTAATTGTATTTTTAATTCCTTCAATTTTACTAGGGTGATTCTATACGATGTTTTAGAATTAGGGTTTTTCCGGGGAGGCAGATCGTGACAAAGCATTAGGAAAGAAATTCGAAAAGTTATTACCTCCAATATTGGTGTTATATCCATACTGTTGATGTCGACTATACTAGCATACCTGCCTCTATGTTCCTTGACTTATTAGGATCATGCCTGGTTATTGTGTCAACACCTCTCCCTAGCCAATAATATAATTCGAGCCAAAATATACAGTGTCAAACTAAACCCTAATCGCTCGAGTTCCTATGTTAATTGTCTAACAAATGTGGCAAATATAAGAGTTTGTAGACCCTAACTCAAATAAAATAATAACATGGTCACCAAATATAAGTACTGTACTTGTCACTGTAGTATTCACTTTTTCAACACCTATGCTATTCAGCCTGATTGATCTTGGCTTCTCTACCCGACCTGATTGATCGCAACATTTTGAAATACCGCTCGTAACACTTCTAGAGTTCACATTAGTATAGTTTGAATTAGAGGAATAAATTGTTCAGGTATCTAATCTCTTAGTGCATCAGAATTAAGAACGTCTTAGTAAAACTTTTGGTCCATGGGTAGAGTTGCTTTTTGATCCATTTTCGTCCCACCTACGCTTTGAAATGCGCATGCCATTCACCACTTTTGCGCAGCGTGCCGATGCCATGAGCATCCCACTTCATGTGTGTATCTTCTAAGCCAAGTACCAACCCATCATCATGAGTATTCATTTCATTATACTCATTTGGCCCTCTCTCTATATACCTTTAAATTTTGGATCATCTTTTATCTCCTACAACATGATAGGTTGTCTATTTGATTCGAACTGTTTTCAAGGGTGAAGATTACTTTAAATAAATATAAATTGAGATCGAGATTGAGAATTTGTATCCTTGGAATGGTTTCAGTTTCTATTCGAGAGCCAAAATTTGACTAATGAAGATCACTGGATTGAATTGTTGGGATTTACGCTCTCTCTGTAATTAATTATTTAATTTTTAACAATAATTTTTATTATTTTATTTGTAATTTAATTATTATCCATGATAAGAAAATCCAAGGTTATTAATATAATTTTGAACCGTATGTGGTTGACATATAAGATGATCGTGTTCAAGTAATAACCAAAAGAGTCTATAGTATATGGATAAAGTTGGGTGTCTTATCTGGGTAACACTATTGACACGGCCTACTTTGTAATCGTTACAAATGATTTGATTCAAATTGTTCATGTGTAGACGTATAAGTGGAGTATCATATATGATAACTCTTTAAAAGTAGAGTCATATCAAGTCTTTTTGTATTTAATATCACACTCGTATTCACAATTTTCTCATTATTTACCCTATTTATTCTACTTAGTGAGCATGAAATCGTTTATTGCGGCCCAACGTGAAAAAAATATGATTTTGCATAAATCGATCTTAATTGTACCTTTAATTGAGTTATGTGATAAAATTTCAGATATTTATGCTGAGTAGCAAATCTGTAAATAAATGGGGGATGACATGGAAATTTTAAATCCACATCAGCAGTTCAAGTGAGTCATTGATTACACCATGAGGAACATCCTATGTGGACAACTTATTCCTTTTTAGCGGTAAAGGGAACTCATGCTCAATATATAAAAAAAAAAAAAAGGAAGACGAGGAGGAGAGCCACAACTTATTCATTTTCAGCCGTAAAGGGGAACTCATGCTCAATATAAAAGGAAAAGGAAGATCAAGAGGAGGAGAGCCACACTTTAGGGAGAAAAATCGAATTACACAGCAACAGCAGCCTCTGCTGCAAT